ATTATATTTGGTATTGGGGAACTAGAGTACACATGAGTGAACTTAATTTGGTTTCACATCACTCAAATATGATTCTTTTCTTCATACAACATAAAAATATGAGAACTGTTAGTTTGTCATGTCATATGGACAATGAATATTTAGCAGTGTTGTGCTTTTGTCCCAGTAAGCCAGGGATCTCAAAATATGCCACAGAAATACATCTCATAATACAGGATCTATGCATCTTAATGGAAAATTCTGACTGATATCGATGATTGGACAATGTCCTTGTAATGTCAAGGGCACACAGTAGTATAGTTGGTTGAGGCAATATGCTACAAGCTGGAAGGTTGTGGGTTCCATTCCTGATGAGGTCACTGGAATTTTCAATTGACCTAATCCTGTGGTCCTTGGGTAGACTCAGTCTCTAAGAGAAATGAGTATCAGGAATTTTCCTGGGGTTAAAGGGCAGCTGGGCTGTATGGTTGACAACTTCACCTCCATCTGTGAGCCGTTGCCTAGAGAAAATGTGGGAGCCTCGATATATCACAACCCTATGGGCCTCCACGGCCTGTTACCTTTACCTTTACCTTGTAATGTTATTCTAAACTGTGAAATAATTTTGTCTAGACCAAACTGTTTAGAATATGCCATAAATCGAGTTTTTATTTTCCACCTACTTATTATTGCATATTCTAATTACTTACATAAACAAGCACAAAGCCGAATGTTCCATAAGAATCTGCAGATTTTGATATTTCTAGATCAGGTATTTCAAACTCAGCTTGTACAGAGGGCCACCTCAGCCCTATAAATAACAGTCCAGGGCCGCACTTCAAAATAAAAATATACATTAGATTTTGATACAAGGAAATTTAATTCTATTTATTATTTATGAATAATTTCAATATAAGTACCTAAAGTGGAACAGTTATATTTTGCCCAAAAATCAAACGTGTAATTTTACCTTCTATTTCACAACAGAAATAAGCGATTTCCTATTTTTCTTGAAAAACACGGTGCTCACTTTCAATAGTTCTTTTTTTGCTACTTGAATTTTTTGAAAGCGACATTGCCCTTTAAAAGTTACTGTACATATACAAGAAAACTCGTAGTTGATAATTGAATGTTTAATTATAACCTTTATACGTTCATCACAATGTAACATCAGCACCTGTTGCTGTGTGAAAATGAACTGAATGACAATTTACAAGAGACTACCGGACTAGTAGGAAGGTGTATCTTGTCTCAATGGTCATAAAAGTGAAAGTTTGCTAGCAGCCCATTAGACAATGGCTGGGGGTTGCAAGCTAGTTTTGAAGGTAGAAATCCCTTGCACTTGTCTGTCAGTTGCCACCCTCCTTGCATTCTTACTACGCCTCCAAAAGGGATTCTTGGAAATAC